TACAAATGCTTAAACTACTTTTTTAGCCGTATCACTTTGCATAGCTTTGTGTCAGCCTCTCTATGCGCTTCATGAAATAGAATCGTGTAAAGGTCTCTGGAGAATCCTACTTTCCTTTAATGCAAACACTGACCATTTACTTTGTAATCTTTCTGATCCCAGTCATTGTTTCCAATCTTTTAACCAATTGCTGATCCATGAAATTACTTTTCCACCTCATCCCAAGATTGTTTGGTTAGGTTTGAAAAGCGTTTATCAAGAGACCCTATCAAATTTTCTGGAAGAAAGGTTTCTTTAACTTAGTTGAATTAATCAGTATTCAGTCCGCATACATATTATTTAATTAATGAAACCTAAACACTGAACGTAGGTTGCATTTTAAAACAGTTCTCTGCTTGTACACTAAAGAAATCATATCAGAGCTTTTAAAGAGAGAAATTATTGTCCACCAATTTAACACATTAATTACTTATCTATACCTAAAACACCAATAGCAGACCAAGTCATGGCCTTGCTGCGATGATCAAGAGCTGAGAGATGGCTGGGGAGAGTAGAGGTCTGCAACTGGTCCACTATCATTTACATCTACCCTGACCTCTATAATCTAAGGTTAGCTCTGGAGATAGATATGACAATCACTGTGTAGCATGGCCGACCAACCTTTACCATAGCCTTGTATCTCCTCAGCTTCTTCGGTGTGGACACCAGTTGTTGGACAATATTATCTATGTTATTATTTCATGGAGTTCCTTACTGGTTACATGGTCTGATTGTGGAGCAGATTCCTAATTTTCAGCTGGTTAGATGTCTTTATTGTAGTCTTTATTTGCTAATGACATTAGCACATTGTCTTCCCAAAGACCAGGAGCATCTGTGAATCTGTTTTGATTGCTCAGAAGAGTTTAAAGTGTCTAGAGAGATAAAAAAAATCTAAAAACAGACTCAATGGAAAATATACAGTGCATTATAAATAATAAAATTAGGTTCCCCAAAATTAACGACAATCGTTGGATTGACTTGAGCAAACTACATACGCTAACCCAGCAGATTCAATCGGGCCAGCACCAAGACTGGAAAAGGGTTTAACCCTGTATAGACAGAATTGCAAAGGAACATTGAGAAACCTCTGTAAATACAGACGTTTCTCTACCCTATTGAATAAACGCAGTAACAAGTTAATACAATGTAATGTTACAATATAATGGGAGTTCCCTGTGAAAAAGGAGCATATATAAAGTACCTAATACCTTCAAACACCAGGAAATGTAAATCTAATATTCGTAATTGCTAAAGAGTGATTGAGATTGAGGGTATAAACATATAACGTATAAAATACAATTACCTGGACTAGAACGTTGACCAGACTAACTTTTACCACACTGTAATGTGATGATCCAAATGGAACAATACAGGGAATCTTCATTTTGGAAAAGACAGAGTGCTAACAAACTTTTTTGATTTTGTATAACAGTCAGGTCTGGCATATGAATTTATAAAGCAATAGTGGAAGGACTTTTATTTATATACATACATACACACACACACACACACACACACTCAACTATCTCACTACCTCTATCGGTATGCATAGTTTGAAAGTCAATAAAAAAAAAAAAAAAAAAAAAAAAAAAAAATTAAATTAAACCCTCACATAATGTCTACTCCTAGCTATACAAGGTCAGTCCGGTAAGTATCCAACAATGTAATATGAAAAACAGAGACATTTAATATATATTTAAGATACAAGAAACATTGTACATAGGACAATGACAGATCCGTCCCCTTCAAAGTAAGCACCTTGGGACCTCATACAGTTCTCCAAGCGTCTCTTCCACTGTTCAAAACACTCTGCAAAATTCTTTGTTGTAATCGCCATCAGCTGCCTCTTCATATTTACCTGAAATCTCTTCCCTTTCAAAGGTGATTTTAGTTTTGGGAAACGCCAGAAGTTGCAGGGTGCCAAATCTGGGCTGTAGGTGAACTGAGTCATGTGGGTGATTTTGCACGTATTGCATCATCCTTGAAAGCCTTCTGAATCATCCGAATAGTTTTTGTGTAGGAATGTTCAAGCTTAACGCAAAATTTGGTGCAGATTCTTTGCTCTATTTACTCAGTCATTTTAAATGCGACAGCCACACAGTACACACGCTCACTCAACAGAGTCTAGCGTCCCCACTGACTACCACAGTGATGTCATCATTGTTCACGCATTCGCATTCCAGTCCACTCTCCGTTGCTGCCAGGTTACATTGCGCAAACCATTCTTGTTACATTAAGAATGGCTGTATACTTTCCGGACAGGCCTCATATATTAATGCTGCTCTACTAAAAATATAATAAAGAGGCTCAATTAATGTGTCCATGCTTATGGGATACCCTCATGTGACATAAGTTAAATAATTAGATGTCTCACTGAATACATTTGCTTTAACATTCCATTCAGAAAGATGCAGTAGGTGCTGTTACATAGTAATTGCAAACTGCATAGCTCTTCAAAAACAGAAGCTATTCTTAGCTGAAGATATAATAAAGAGATTTAATCAATATATCCACTCGTATGGAATACCCTCATGTATTCTTATAGGATTGAAATATTTAACCATCTCTCTGAGTAAATATGTACAAGTCTGGTGTGTGTGGAGTGTGTGTATTTGCCCCGTATTTGCTTACATGTCCCAGGTGGTCCGGGGTGGGAGCACTGTGGTCTGCACCCTTATCGAATGTAGAACATTTAAAGGGACACTATAGTCACCTGAACAACTTTAGCGTAATGAAGCAGATTTGGTGTATAGAACATGCCCCTGCAGCCTCACCGCTCAAACCTCTCTGCATGTGACTTGCACAGCCTTCCATAAACACTTACTGTAAAGAGAGCCCTATTTAGGCTTTCTTTATTGCAAGTTCTGTTTAATTAAGATTTTCTTATCCCCTGCTATGTTAATAGCTCGCTAGACCCTATAAGAGCCTCCTGTATGTGATTAAAGTTCAATTTAGAGATTGAGATACAATTATTTAAGGTAAATTACATCTGTTTGAAAGTGAAACCAGTTTTTTTTTCATGCAGGCTCTGTCAATCATAACCAGGGGAGGTGTGGCTAGGGCTGCATAAACAGAAACAAAGTGATTTAACTCCTAAATGACAGTGAATTGAGCAGTGAAATTGCAGGGGAATGATCTATACACTAACAACTTCTTTATTTAGCTAAAATAATTTAGGTGACTATAGTGTTCCTTTAAAGTTATCTCTCATGGTCCGGCACTGGAGCTCAAAGTCCTTAAGAAGCACTAGGGGGCTGCGAGAAAGCTCTTAAAGTGGTATGCAACCAATATTGGTGCACACAGCAACACTCCCTTGAGCAGGTGAGGGGGCTCAAGGCCAAGTAGGGAGATTTTTTTTTTTTATCTCCCTGACAGCTCATCAGGGCCTCGTCACAGCAAAAGTTGGAGCTCCAGGTCCAGACTAGGACCTAATAGATTTTCCGACTCTTAAATAGATAACTTCAGTGCATAGTTACATAGTTACATAGCTATATAGGTGAAAAGAGACTTGCGTCCATCAAGTTCAGCCTACCTCACATTTGTTTTTTGCTGTTGAACCACAATTTTGCAACAAGCTAGGAAAAAAAAATCCTTCTGACCCCAGAATGGCAGTCAGATTTATCCATGGATCAAGCAGTTATACATTGAAAGATTATATCCTTGAATATTGTGTTCTTGCAAGTATGCATCTAGTAGCCGTTTGAACATCTGTATGGACTCTGATAAAACCACTTCTTCAGGCAGAGAATTCCACGTCCTGATTGCTCTTACAGTAAAAAAACCTTTCCTTTGCCTTAAACGAAATCTTCTTTCTTCCAGTCTAAGTGAAAAAATATATAAATGCATTTAAAACTTTGGCTATATATAAAAAAATCTTGCATAATATGTTGATATCTTGTCTGCAGTGTTTGCAAGCCACCTTCTTTCCTAGCCTGGACTTTCTGTGGCTGTCCAATCACATCCTAATACAGCTCAAAGAAAAGTCTTTGAAGGTGCTCTGGGCAGTTGCTGCCTCTTGTGTTTAGCACCCTTGAGCTAGACAAACCAGGAAGTTAAAATTGCTGCCGTCTACGTGAAAACAGTAGTGCAGCAAGATTTATTTATAAAAGTTTCAATTTCTATAGAAATGTTGTAAGATTAAACACATAAAGCATTTCAGCAAGCTAAGGTGCTTTAGGAGTCAGGAGTGTTCTTAAACATTTTTTTTTTAAAGATGTGTGTGATACATTTTATAACTGTATGTTTAGCTGTTTGAAAAGGACGTAGAATCTCCTCTGTAGCCTCTAAATCACATTCACAACATTTATGATTTTTTTTTTCATAACATCACTTTCAAAATCCATATGCCAGATTTTATATAGACTGTACAAACCAATTTGCTGAAGCAGTGGTGATGAATTGTGATTTTCTAAAATCCTGCTACCATGCCAATAGATTATTACTGTAAGTGTGATACAGTATCGTCTACATACAATGATCTCCCACTAAATAAATTCACACAAATGATAAATAAGACTCAGTCTGTTACTAGGTAAAGTCATGTGTTTGTACACTGTCTGAAATGTTAAATGCAGCTATTACAATAAAATATATTTTCATAAAATATACCTGAGCCTAAAAGTTATGACAAGGTCATGTGGAGATTAAGCTAATCTTGGCGTTTGAAATGTAACTTTATCTACACATTGCTGCAAGGCCTCTGTCATGTATCATTCACTAAATCCCACAGACCTGTCCAAACAGAAATATTTTCTAGGAATGCTCTACATCTGTTTCCAAGGCTCATTTGCTATCCAATTCCAAAATCCAGATCCATGAACCGCATGCGAGATAAATGGCCTAAATATTTAATCTTCTTGTACATACATGCTATGACATTTCCTCTGGTCTCCGTTAACTCTTTCAGTGCTTGAAGAATACTATTTAATATTATTCATTGCTGGATTAAGTGTTTCAAGGCACTGGAGTTGAAGATTTTGATGTGCCTAATACTATGGGATTAAGTATTTTGAAAGACACAGGCAACCTTCGGCACTCCAGATGTTTTGGACTACACCTCCCATGATGCTTTGCCAGCATTATGGGTGTAAGAGCATTATGGGGGATGTTGTCCACAACATCTGGAGTGCCGAAGGTTGCCTATCCCTGGTAGGGGATAGGGCAGGAGCAGAGCCTGTCATTAGATGTTTTAGATTACTATTAAATGTAATTTCAGTAAAAATAAATAAAAAATACTTCCTTATCATCATCCTATACAGAATCTACACAGACTCGTAATCAAGGGTGAGAAAGAAATTCCACAGTTAACTGATCACACACACACAAACAACTGGCTTCTACATAGAAACTACAAACAACGGAGTGTGTACTTGCCGTAAATGCGAACGGCTGCATGTCAACATGGCTTTGCTGAGAAAATAGGCCTAAGCAACTAAAAACAAAGCTAATTCTGAACTATGGGAATACTCTACACACCACACCACTGTGTGCAAGATTTAGCACCTAACCACAACCATAAACTCACAGATAACCCCCAGATCTGCAGGTCAGAGACACGTAGATGTGCCCTCCCCATCTCAAGATGGTGCCCAGATGGGAATGTCTTCCCCATTATTATAAGACACAGCCTCTCAGTCAGAAATCCTACAACAACTCTCAGAAACCGACCTAGCTTCAGAACTTAATATATATCAAACTTAATATATATCAAATGCTACAAGACTTAAGGGCCACTATTCATAGATTTGCACACAATCACCAGGATATCCATGCCATGGGTGAATGCAATGAGCAGCCTGGATGAGCGGTGCAGCGCACACAATGAGATGGTGGACAAGATATCAGCTATGGAGGTCATCCAGAACTGCCTCATCCAGTTTAGGGCGGTTGCGGAGGACCGTTCCCGCCGCAACAATATAATGGTGCGTGGGGTCCATAAATCTGTAACAAATAAAGACCACCAGGCTTATCTGCTGGAGATGTTTAGAGCAGTGCTACCAGCTCTCATTGAATAGGACTGGCTTCTTGACAAGGCTTACTGCCTCCCAAAACCACACAACCTGCCAGCCAAATTACACAGATATATCATCACCAGACTCCACTTCTACAAAGTCATAGAAGCACTAATGGTTGTAGTGCGCAAACTCCACTCCCTCCCATCAGTTCCACATTATTCATGGACAAGTCAGCAGTGACCATGCTAAAGCACAGCAAGTTCCACAGCATGACAAATGCCTTACATGTGCTCACCATCACTTACACATGGGGCTACCCCACAAAGCTACTCATCTGGAAAAATAGCAAGCTGAGAACTGTGGCTTTACCAGAAGAGGTCTCTATATGCTCAGGTCCTGGAACATCCTACCAGTGGGAACTACATCACCCAAGGAGATCCCTACCTCAATGATACCACTTCATGGCCAAGAGTCAGCTCTACCAAGTGACTATCTAACAAAGCAGAGGTACCTAGAACTGGTGATCCTGAGTCCAGTTGCCACATCCCTGCCTTCGGTGGTGTTTCAACCAATGTTAAACACAACAGCTCATTACTGATTGTAATGTCATCACTTGGTGTTGGTTTAAAATACCGCCACTCGCATCCTTTAAGTTATGTTATATTATTTTCTTTAATTTTGTATAGGTGTACTCACCCAGAAGCACTAACTCTATTTACCCAGGTTCCTCAATGGAGGATGGTCCCTTTAATTATAAAGACCTGATAGGCTGCAGCCTATATTCCCATTCTAGTTATCTTCATTGTATTAAAAGAAATGCAAAAAAAACATACAGTAAGGCACATACACCAAGCAAATTAGGAACATGGCAAAATAAGGATGGCAAATTAGACATAGTACTATTTGACTTTTGCAGATGCCTTAAAAAAAAAAAGCACATTTAAATACTCCTACATCGCCTATTAATGGGAGATGCAGTGCCAGCCCTTGCCCCACAGTTTCCCATAAAGAGTCCACTAGTCAAATATCTCAATTCTTCTAAGCAAACCCTTTGAGGAACCACATGGTATCCTAAGGGCCTTTGCAGTGTCATAGTTCTGCTGCAGTATAAACAATCCCCACTGAAACTTTTATTCTAGCATTCGGGGTATATTTGGGTGCAATATACCCCAAACTCTGTATTCCTTTCTACTCATTTCCTAATGAAACTATTGTCCTAATACATTGAAACTATTGTCTCAATATATTATGTTGCCTTAAGGTTCACTACCTTCATTATTTATTTGATACCCGCTTAATTTTGGACCCATGGGAGGTGTCATCTCGGATCCCCCACTAAAAAACTGACCCATCCTCAACATGAGAAGTTCCTTCCACATTTTCTCAATAAACTCAAAAGACCTAAATAGACCAAACAAATGGTGCCTGGTGTTAAAAGATGCACGCTGCTCCAGAGACATTTATGCCACCAATAAAACTCTAATAGGTTTCCTATCCAAGAGCTTCACAAGAATTTCCAAAATAACCAAGCGGGATTCTTCATATGTGGTGACTTTAACAGTAAATGAACTCCCTTGGGACAGTGTAAGCATGATGCCATATTCCTCACCTAAACAAATTCTCAACCTCAGCCACCAATTCCTTGACCTGCTAACCTATCACAGTCTACATGACTTTTGGAGGGATTATATCCCCCGAAGGAAAAGACTACACCTTCTACTCCAAAGTCCACAAATGATACTCACACATTCATCTGTGTTTGGTGGACATTCTTATCCTCCAGGCCCTAACACATACGGCAATGGCCTGTCAGAACTCTTAAGCGGCCCTACTGGACCAACTTATCAATATCAAAAACTTCAGGCCATTAGATCCCTTTCACAAAAGAAAACTTCAGCAACTGATGTGTTTTCTAACTTCTACTCCAAACAAAATGCTGACTCTTTAGCTCCACCCCTAATTTTACTCTACAGCCACTTTATACAAATTGGGTGCATCCCAGGGGACATGTTGTCTGCCAACAAAGTCACACAGCCCAGTCCAGGCAAATGGACCACAAAATGTGCAATCTTTCGGCCCATCTTGCTGCATGCAGATGTAAATCTCTATGCCAAGATCTCGTGTTAACCCCCTTCTGCAGAATTTAGTCTTCCCAGAATATTTTTTATTTTATTTTTTGTCCCACACAGACAAGTCGTCAACAATAAAAGGCAGGCCGTAGACCTCCTGGAAATCAGTACATCCAACAACATTCTCAGTGTATTGTTCGTACTTAGCAGAGAGAAAGCTGTTGGATCCCAGGCTTGTTTCCTTTTATAAAAATAATGCTAACAAAATGCAATGGTAGTGCACCTTGTCTACCCAAAGGTACTCAATCTCCCCAAAGCAAAAGTACACTTTTGATTGGAGGAAGGTATCTCTCACTTACCTGGGGATTAAACTCACAGCATATAAGGTAGTGGTTACCAACATTTTTGTCACTTGAATATCCTTTGGCAGTTAATTTCCATAAATTGTACCCATCATATTAGCAACATGTTTGTAATGAATATATTTGCTGTTATTTCCAATTTACCGGTATATGGTTTTCTCTGCCACATCTCCCCTGCTTCTCCTCCGCCCAATGTGTATGTATGTGTTTATATATTAAACCCACAGAAACAACCCTCTTTTATTGAGAAGACAAACTGCAATTTGTCCCAGCTAGTAATCAGATACATTGTATTGTGGCTAAAGTAAAGGCCACAACTTGATCCTAACTTTAACAAGCCAAAAATCTGACTTAAACAAAATGTCAGCTGTTTGTTTGACCAAGCACAGATTGTTCTCTCAATGCAAAAAAAAAAAAAAGACAACAAAACATAGCAAAGCAAAGCATATAATAATAATAATGGAGAGAAAGAAAGATAAGATCAAGCCAGATTTCCTCAGGCGTGTCTTAATACCCACACCTATGTCTACAGATCAAGACTCCCCCTACTGGCCTTGCAACCATGACCACTATAACATTACTCCTTTCCATGCTGTCCATAGGGAATTCTTTTCTAATGTTTTCTTTACAGAAGCCACCATTAAAAGTATATGGGAATTTTTGTAGATAAATAATTTGAGAAGTTTTTTCCTAACAGATTGGAATAATGTCTGATCCAACAAATTAAATTTAGGGCTGTATAGCCATACCCTCCAGAGACACCCATGATATTTAATAAATTCACTTACACCATGCACAAACTAGTTCTCTGTATCGAATACAAATATAATAATCAAATTCAAACTTTTTACTAAGCAAATGGCTAAAATATTAATCCTTCATTAATAAATGTTACTTCCTGTTATCTCAAACATCTCGTTGATTCTATTTCAAACTTTCTAAATGTAACTTGCATGAATCTGGGAAAAGCGGGGGGATGATCATAGCAAAGAATGTATCCATGACATCTGACACACGCTCTAGTTACCAAATGACAAAATTTGTTCTGAGATATCCCCTTTGCCTTTGTCCCCCACGTGTCACCATGCAAGTGGACATGTCGCTAGTGGTCTTTGGAAAAATATTCACCCTACCAGAGAAAGCGCCACTTCAAATCATCTTCAAATCTCACAGTTTGGGATTATGTAGGAATGAGATGTGGACCTAACCATCTTAAACCTTTTAACTTTCATTCTGCCATCCTCGGCTCACAGCATTTAATAGATAGTTCCCACTGGATATTTTATTGTGACGTCCTTTGTCAATTATGCATTTATGTGGGAAAATGCAATTTTATGTTCAAAGCTAACTTTGTTGGTGGTTTGCTCTAGTCAATTGCAATAAAGCAGAGGCATAGAGGTAACAAAGACAGATGCTCAAATGCCCCTTGTTTTTCATTAGCCTGTTTCTTATCATTTCAGCTATTCAGGTTGGAAGGTCAAGATTGCTTTTATCTGCATTAAATATGGTGGAAGGTGAGGACATCAATGGCTTCATTTGACACTTGGTAAATCAAGTATGAAATTAATTCATTTACAAATTTGCTTATTTTTATGGAGCTTCAACCTACTCATCTAAGATGAGCAGGTTGGTCACTTAACACCACATGGTACAGTTCTCTACTGGTTTGGATAAGGACTAAGGTATTGATCACCAAATTATACTTTATTATTTTTAGGTGTTTGTACTGTACATGGGCAAGGTGACGTGGTGATGACCTGACTGGTAATTTTATTATTACCCCTCCATAAATTTGCACAGC